GGGTTGTGTTGTCGAGATATTTGTTTTTATTCGCGAACGAAATGTCTGAACAACGGCGACAATTTTATTTCGATTCAAATTTATTCCTAACGCTCGATTTATTGTGGGCAAAAGAAGGAGTGCGCTCCCCGCTCGTTGCCCGCTCGCTCGCCGCTGCCCGCTCGTTGCCCGCTCCGGCGCCGCTGTTTTCGAGAACCGGTCTATTTGATTTTACGCATAAGATCCTGCCGCTCCCGCGCCGCCGCCGCCGCCGCCCCGCCGCCCGCTAAGTTCGAGGCTGAGGCCTAATGGGTTCGGCGGCCTCGAGCCCCACATTACCTGCTCCGAGCGTCAAGTATAGGCTATTTTCCTGGGAATACTACTACTGACCGATGTTGTGCTTGGCGATGATGCAGTTGTTGCTGAGCAGCAGCACGTCGCTGAGGTGCAGCGAGCGCCGCGCGCAGCCCAGCAGAAGGTGCTCGCCCGCGTGCGCGCGAAGCAACGCCACCTGCCGGCGACAGCGACAATTTAATGTCAAGACGCTTCTGCCATTGTAATAAGGAACTAAAGCCTGGTCCGTGAGCACGTAGAATTTTGTCCAATGACCCCAAGCTACCCATTCTTATCGCTCGCGCGGAATTATGTTGCTGTCGCGCTCGCACACTCACTGCGGGCGCCCGTCGCACAGTCGCGACAGCAATATAATTCCGCGCGAGCGATAAGGATGGGTAGCTTCGGGTCATTGGACAAAATTCTACGTGCTCACACGGACCAGACTATACCACACAGTCACTAAAGAGAGATGTGATACATTGCTTGCGTAGTACTAAAGATTATTCGAACGTTGAGTTGATAATGAGCACATATTTTGATTACTTTGTGTGTGTGAATTTGTAATGCGACACTGAGTTTCGAATCCAGTTGGCATCTCTCTATATCTCTATGGGAACTTGAGCTGTATTGTTATCGTTCGTTCACTCACTCACTCCGACGTGCGGCGGCGATCGCCAGTAATAAACGAGCTAACTCGCTAAACGGTCGTTTGATTGCTATTCCCTCTAACGCGTATATAACATCTGGCGACGGGTACCCTCAAGTGCAAAATAAAGTGAACATGTCGAGCTTAATTGGAAATATTAGCGTTTTTGACCACAAAATTCACGAGTGGTCAATATTTTATAGTCGGCTGTCTCAGTTCATCAAGCTAAATAAAATAGTGGAGGACAATAAGAGTGCGGTATTGCTGACACATCTTTCTGACGAGTCATACCGTTTAGCGCGGGATCTAGTACATCCGAAAGAGCTTGAAAAATTATCTTATCAAGATCTAACGAAAGCGTTGGAAGATCATTTCACACCAAAGAGGTCAACTTTTGCCGATAGGGCAAATTTTTACGAAGCATCGAGATTCGAAAATGAGAGTATCGAGGACTGGGCGGCACGTCTCAGAGGGCTAGCCGTATACTGCGAGTTTGGATCGGCGCTGGATACCTTATTGCGGGATCGCTTCGTATTGGGCCTGGGTGCGGGTATGGTTCGAGATCGCCTGTTCGAGCAAGACTCAGCTTCGCTAACGCTAGCCAGGGCGCTGGAGATAGCCCAGCAAGCCGAGTGTGCGAGGCGCGCGCGCAGCAGCGTCGGAGTGGAGCCGAGCATCAAGGAGGAGCCTGTGTACCGCGTGAGCGAGCGTCGGGGCTGCCAAGGACGACGTGGAGCGGCTGCGAGCGACAGCGATACGAGGTGCACGGTGTGTGGGCTGAAGAACCACGATGCGTCAAAGTGTCGTTATAAAAACTACAGGTGTCAAGTGTGTGGTGAAAAAGGGCATTTAAAGAAAGTGTGTAAAGTGCAGCGGGATGGAGTGAATCGGTTAAACAACATGAGCGTGGAACCGGATGCGGATGAACATAATTGTAAAGAATGTAAATTGTTTAATGCGAGGTACGTAGCCTATGATCCTATCAAACTAGACATATTAGTTGAAAACATCAATCTCACTATGGAATTGGACTCAGGTTCAGGTTCTAGTGTTATATCAGAAGACTTATATTTAAAAATGTTTACAAGATTTAATTTAAAACCATCAGATTTAAAAATGTGTTTTTACAATGGACATAAAATCACACCATTAGGCTATTTTATTGGCAAAGTCTCATATTTAAATCAATGTAATCATATTAAGTTTTATGTTATTAAAAACGGGGGCCCTGGACTATTGGGTCGTGACTTTATGTCTAAATTTAATATTTGTTTTACAACTTATAACAATAGTATTATTTGTCAACAACAACGTGAGGTACAGCAATTACTGAATGCATTTCCTGACGTTTGGAAGGATGAGTTAGGTTGCTTTAATAAATTTGAAATTGAATTACATTTAAAGGATGATGCACAGCCGAAGTTTTTTAAGCCACGCTCAATTCCATTCGCCCTTAAGGAAAAAGTTTATACAGAGTTGGATAGATTAGTAAAATTGGGAATATTAGTGCCTGTAACTTTTTCTGAATACGCTACACCTATAGTGCCTGTGCTTAAAGAAAATGGTAAAATAAAAATTGCCGGAGATTTTTCTTGCACACTAAATAAGGTTTTAAAAATAGATAAATACCCCTTACCCCGCATCGAAGAGGTTTTTGCAAAAATTAGTGGCGGTGAATTTTACTCTAAGTTAGATTTAAGTAACGCGTACAATCAATTTAGGATAAAAGAGTCATCACAACACTTAACTACAATTAATACGCCCAAGGGCCTATTCAAATATACGCGCCTAGTGTACGGACTCGCAAATGCTCCGGCAATTTTTCAGCGAACGATGGAGACATTGCTGTCAGGAATAGAAGGCGTAAGTTGTTGGCTTGATGACATATGTTGTACGGGTCCTACTCCTGAAATTCACTTGGCCAGGCTAACGGAAGTACTGAGAAGATTGCAGGACGCCGGGCTTAAGTTACAGAGGGATAAATGTTCTTTTTTCCAACCGAGTGTTACGTACCTAGGGTATGTTATCGACAAAAACGGTTTAAAAACATGCCCGAATAAAGTTGCAGCGATATTAGACGCACCCATCCCCACCAACGTGACTGAAGTTAAACGTTTTCTAGGCGTAGTTAATTATTACCGTAACTTTATTCCGAATGCATCGGCATTAATGCACCCGTTACATAAGTTACTACGGGAGGGCGCGCCGTGGCGCTGGACAGAGGCCGAGCAGGCCGCGCTGGACGCGGTGAAGCGCGAGCTGGCGTCGGAGCGGGTGCTGGCGGGCTTCGACCCGGCCGCGCCGCTCGTGCTGAGCGTGGACGCGGGCCCGGCCGGGCTCGGCGCGGTGCTGGCGCACGTCGACGCCGAGGGCCGCGAGCGCCCGATCGCGTTCGGCTCGCGATCCTTGTTGGCCAGCGAAAGAAATTATAGCCAAATACAGAAGGAGGCGACGGCTATTATATTTGGAGTTAAGCATTTCCACCAATATTTATATGGCCGCAGAGAACCGTTTATATTGAAAACGGATCACCGCCCCCTCCTTTCTATATTTGGTAAGAAAAATGGTATTTCAGTTACGGCTGCCTCCCGTTTACAACGTTATGCCATTATACTATCCGCATACAACTATAATGTACAATACGTGAGCAGTAAAAATAATTTAGTTGCAGATTTCTTTTCACGAGCCCCGCTGCCGTTATCTATTGATAACAACGTAAACAAGGAAGAGGACGCCCAATGTTTTCTCTTTCTAGACGTAGTCGCGGGCGCAAAACCGGTTTCATTTGACGAGATACAGCGGGCCACCGCGAGCGATAGCACCTTACAAACCGTCGTTAAGTATATGAATAGTGGCTGGCCGAGACGAATTAAATGCAATGACGTATCACCATATTTTAATTGCAAAGCTGATCTAGAATTAAATGATGGATGTTTATTTAGAGGTCATAGGATCGTAATACCGAGTAAGTTTCGCAGTCGGATGCTAGAAGAGTTACACTCGTCACATTTTGGCATAGTTAAAAGTAAAAGTAATGCGCGAAGCAGAATGTGGTGGCCGGGAATCGACGGCGATATCGAGTCGTGGGTGGGGGCGTGCGGCGTGTGCGCGGGACTGCGCGCCGCGCCGCCGCGCGCGCCGCCCGCGCCCTGGCCGCGCGCGCCCGGGCCTTGGCACCGCATTCATATTGATTACATGAGTATAAAACAATGCGTTTACTTAATAATCATAGATTCTTTTAGCAAATGGTTAGAATGCATTCAAATGAATTGCGGTACCTCGACTGGTATGCTTATTTCTAAGCTAAAATATATTTTTTCAAGATTCGGTATACCTAAAGTCATTGTGTCAGATAATGATATAAAAATTTGTTCCTTAGAATTTGAAATGTTTTGCAAAAGTAACGGTATTAAATATTTAACTTCCCCGGTGTACCATCCTGCTAGTAACGGCCAAGCAGAAAACTCGGTCAAGACTTGTAAAAAAATGATAAAATGCATTTTGTCTGAAAACAATTTACCAAATTCTAAAGTTCAAGAAAAATTGGCGGGTTTTCTGTTTGACTATCGAAACACTATTCACTGCTCCACGGGGGCTACACCGGCCAAGTTGATGATGGGCCGTGATCTGCGCGGTCGCCTAGACTTAATACTACCTAACAAAGAAATTCATGATATGATCAGTACATGCACTGCTGATGAACAATTAAATAAAAGCAGATGTTTTGAATTAAATGAGACTGTTATGGCTAAATGGTTTGTTGCCCGAAAATCAGTATGGTCACCGGCTATTATAAAAAAAATTATTGGACAAAGATTGTTTGAAGTATATTTTAAAAATTACAATACTACATGTAAAAGACATTTAGATCAAATTATTAAAGTAAACAAAGGTAATTCCAACAATGTACAAAATAATAGTGAATGTAATACAGAAATAGCGACTGCAGGGTTGTCATCACCATTGCCGCAGCAGGAGCGACCGCTACCACCTTTGTTAACAGACATTGAAAGTTCAATTGACAAATCACTACGCGAAATTAATGACGTAGAAGTCACGAGTGAGCCGGGCGATGGCGATGACATTTGGGCAGAAGCTAATGATGGTCTTTTAGAAATTGTTAATCGAGGGGAGGATGCGATTGATCGACCTACTGATCCTCCTGTCGAGAGCCAAGACTTAGAGGATGGCGAGGGAGATGGAGATGGAACAGTAGGGCGATCAACAGGCCCTGTATTAAGGCCTAGGACGAAGAAAATAGACTATAAGAAATTATTTTAATATAAGTTGTTTATTGTTAACAGAGTTTCAAAATAGAGAAGAAGGGATTGAGCTGTATTGTTATCGTTCGTTCACTCACTCACTCCGACGTGCGGCGGCGATCGCCAGTAATAAACGAGCTAACTCGCTAAACGGTCGTTTGATTGCTATTCCCTCTAACGCGTATATAACAGAACTACCAGGCTTTACTATTTATAAGCTAAATCATTGTAAGAAAGAATACGCATATGGTTTGCTTATGCTAATTTAAAAAATACATAAAAATAAAAATTAGCATACTAGCGGTGCATCAAACTAGCAAAGTCGCATGCATCCACGTGAGCAGCCTGGTAATATCGACACACGGCTTAGAGTCCCCGCAGACATAGTTAGACTTTTAGTTGGCCGATAGTTGATAATGTCAATAAAATAGTCGGCAGCAATCCGCATAATCGCGACACGTTTCAAAATGGATCGTGAGCCTAGTGCGTTGCACGATACGGGACTATTCCCACCTCTCGTTCCCATCACTGCAACTCCTGTGTAGCAGCCAGGATCTACAGCTTGACCGCCACAAAAACCCAATCAATGAAGGTCAAGTTTGTCCCGGGGGAAAGTTAAACTGTCATTGCGATCATTAGCGTTGCACGATAGGAAGACGGTGGATAAGATGAACTTTAGAGCTAACACGACCTATATCCTCAATAGCTAAGTGCTTGTTCAAACTTAGTGCGGAGAAATGGCGGAAAAATACACACATGACTGTTTATATTTGTCATAAAACGTTCCAGTTTAAAAAACTAGGCAACTAAAATGAGTCACTTTTTCCATGTAAACAATTTCTTCTTATAAACATTCTAGTACTTTTGGCACATTACATGATTTCAATTTGGCACGAATTCCGCAGTACATTGCACTCCGAGCTTAGACGTAATACTACACAATTTACCCTGTGAATTTCGTCACTCTCCATGAGTAAAATCAGTAAGAGTAGGCGCACACCGTTGATTTTTCGTCGGCCGACAGTTTAGTCGGACAGTTGATCAGTATGGGAGTGCACACACTACGCCGATTCGATTTAGCCGATTCTTCATACAAATTAAAATCGATCACAACTATCGGCCAACTAAAAATCAACGGTGTGCGCCTACTCTTAAGGTTATTTTACAATCAATAAGGTACTTTTTGTTGCAAAGTAGCATCTATCACAAGTACATAAAGACTATATTCTCACCTGGTCATCTAGATGCAGCTCCGTGAAGGCAGGGATGTACTTGGCCCACTCGACCAGGATCAGTAGCTGCTGCTTGATGGAGTCGCACACGTCATTGATCTTCGCTAGCTTTCGGTTGCTGAGTTCCGCGTCTGATACGTTTATCGTCTGTGCCAAGAGAAAAGGAGTTCTAATAAGTATAGTTTTAAGCACATTTTCCACCTTCAGCTTGCGGTTACTCAGCTCCGCGTTTGATCGTTTGTGCCAAGAGAAAAGTAACTGTATTATGTACACTATTTAAGTAGATTTTTATCTTTCAACCAGATCCCCGGCTACCTTAGTGACACCACAATATTGTATCAGCATATGATTTACGTAGGTAGGAAAATATTTAGTTCAAAAATGAAAAATTAGTCAAGTTCAACTAAAAACATAAAAATTCATTACCGTATACCGTAATAAATAAAATAAAATAAAAATAAATTTACCAGCAGACGGAGAATGACGAAGCCGTTTATAAAAAGAGGTATTGTAAGTTATTTTAAATGTAATTATTGTATGTCTACAATAGAGAAGTTGCGGCGAGGTATGTCAAAAGTCATACAGATTAACATGGCTAGACGCGTCGCCGAATTTAGCGATGACGTCCTGCTGCGATATGAAATTGAAAAAGTCGAGAAAAATAGAGTCGACGAAGTGCCACGTCAGTCAATGACTTTGTAGTAAATAATAGTGGAAAATTTTAGAATATTGAATCTAGTCAAAACGGCTTTAAGCTGTTCTCTTCTGTCTATTCTTATCTGTTGGTTTATGTTTCGTTGCTGCAATGCAAAATAGTACCTATTAGGTACATCTACTACAGACAGATACCTTTATAAATTAAACTAACTTATAAAATGAAGTTCAGTTTTAATTATACACACTTAATAGTTTCGCAATGATAAGGGATAGTCTCTCACCCTTGTCTAATAAGTCAGATTATTAACCCGTGTAATTGACATGGATATCGTAAAATACCTAGTTTAAAGAAGAATACCGGAACTAATGACATAAATGATAAGGAACATTTAAGAATTATAACAAAAATTGTTAAGTCGTTGGAAGATGAAACAGACTATTCGATAATCGCTCTGTCTGACCGAGATCTTTGGATTTCAGCCTACGAGTATTGCCAAACATTCTGGTGTCAAGAGGGTTTATGAGGTAACATAAAATAATGATATTACCTCATCTATGACCTTTCTGCTGAGAAGTTCCGCGTTGAGCAGCGACACGACGGACAGCCCGTTGGCTTGCGTTGGTTCTTCGTACGACGGCCTTCTGCAGTTGATTCTGTCTCTCTCGTTCTGAACGGCTGGGAACAAAAATTTAAGGAATAAGAAGTTGTCCTGCTAAACCTAATCGTAATATTGAGTAGGTACCTAGGTGTTTCTAAATCAACTGTCAGTGAAACAAACATAATTATAAATCAAGTTTAATACGCTAAGTAGTAACGTGTACCTGTACCATTTGACGACCGCGACGGGTTAAGGGACAAAGACACATTTCTAAATAATCTTGAAAACAATCTACATGTTTCTATAACCAAAAAGCATGTAAACTAGACACTTGACTAAGTGTGTACTATTTATACACTTAGTCAAGTGTCTAGTACCTATTACTATTTGAAAATATTATTTCATGAAAATGGTTACTGTTGTACATTTTTAACATGAATATTCATGCCAAGCTGAGTGGATGAAATAAAATATCTATACTTATAATAAATCTGTAGAGAGGTCAATTCTGTACATGAAATATATTTTCAAAATAACTATCAGGGGGTGATTAGTGATCGATACTGATGCCAAAAATGCAATCAGTAAAATTTTTGTCTGTCTGTCTGTCTGTCTGTCTGTATGTTCCTTATAGAAACAAAAACTACTCGACGGATTTTAACGAAACTTGGTACAATTATTCTTCATACTCCTGGGCAGGTTATAGGATACTTAGGAATTCCCACGGGAACGGGCATTAGCGGGAAAATCCTTTTGTATGAAAAATCTAAACCGCTTAAGTTAGACGCTTGAAATTTGGCAAGCAGGTACCTTAGTAAACTTAAAGCTTAGTTATAACAGGATATTGCAAAATTCCTACGGGAACGGGAATTAGCGAGAAAAAACATTTGTATGAAAAAATCTAAGCCACGTAAGATAGACGCTTGAAATTTGGCATGCAGGTACCTTGGTAAACTTAAAGCTTAGTTACAACAGGATATTGCAAAATTCCCACGGGAACTGGAATTAGCGGGAAATTTCTTTTGTATGACTGACTCACTGACATACCCACGCACAGCCTAAACGGTAGAGGTGCACTAAGAAAGGAATTCCCGAAATTCCCATAGGAACAGGAATTACCGGGAAAATCCTTTTGTATGAAAAATCTAAACCGCTTAAGTTGGACGCTTGGGCATGCAGGTAGGTCCCTTAGTAAACTTAAAGCTTAGTTACAACAGGATATTGCGAAATTCCAACGGGTACGGGAGTTAGCGGGAAAAAACATTTGTATGAAAAAATCTAAACCGCATAAGATAGATGAAGGGGGTAAAACGGGATCCACGCGTACGAAGTCGCGGGCGGCCGCTAGTAGGAAATAAAGCCTAAACATGTTTGAGATGTGTTACTTAAAAAATAACAGTATTAATCAGGAAATTGTTATAAGTTGTAGGCAAATGTTTGTTTTTTACCTTCACCAGTTGTACTAATATCATGAAAAAAGCCGTCATTTCAAAAAGTACCAAAGCGGATATCATAAAACGCAAAATAACATATTTTTCGCGATGCTAGTAATTTTGTTGATAAAGCAAATTGCTATCATCATGATAATTAAGTATGTAAGCACAATGCGCCATCATTGTTGTATTATGGCGAAATAATTACGGTTTATCATTCTACCATATTCATTAGTTGACATTGGATATTCGGATTGAATTATCATAGATTGATTTAATCATCTATGAGGCGCACGCGCATGGGTGACTTTTGACAGTATGTCTCTCCATAGGTAAGAATAAGTACTACGATGTCTCTCTTTTTTAAATAAAAGTAAAAAAGAGAAAAATATTTATGTCACGGTGAAAAAAAATCACCCGTGCATTAGAGTATTTTAGCATAAATGTGAAATTTTGAGAAATCAAGACTGATGTATGTAAAACTTAAAGATTAAAGAAATGTAATAATGATACACACTTTCCAAATCAGGGATGTTTTGGATATCCGTAACCGTAACCGAAACTTTCGGATATCCAAAATAAAAAAATATCCGTAACCGAAACCGGTATAATATTATTCCTATATCCATAACCGTATCCATAACCGAAACTACATATCCATAACATCCCTAGTTCAAATACTTAGATTCGCAACTAAAACTTTCTATCATACAATAGAAAGTGTTCGTTTTCGTCACCCGTGCACTCAAATATAGATTATGTCGCTTTGTGTACTGTCATAAACACAATTTTCCTTTTTGTGTGGGTTGTTAGTTATTAACGGACTATAAATACCACCTAAGGCGTCGGATATGGCTTAGTCTGAGTTCGCCATACGTTTTGGTTTCATAGGACATGCTATAAATAAAGGATGTCATTGATATTTATATTTAGTAATGTCCGGACTTATTGCTTTATTTATAGGAAAGGTCTCCGTTACTACGAATCTAAGGTATTGTTTATTTTCAGAATAACTCCTTGATTATGCAATTTAAGTGATGGATAATATTGTGATGTGTAATTGATTGTTTCTAGTTGTGTTTTACAATTATGCAGTTCCATTTTATAGTGCATTCTAGTTTAAGACCTGCAATTCAAAATTTTGAGGTTGCCACCTTAGCATATTTTGACGTACGTAATATAACAACGTATACAGCTGAATTTGCGTGTGTCAGGTTTCACTTCAGGCAAATAACAACAAGGAAATCGAATTCTTTGGAAAATGTAAACGCGACGTATCAAGTGACGAAACCAATGTTGTATGAGTAATTAAGTTAGTTGAGTAATTATTGCATGCCCAGTATTCCCGATAACGTCGGTTGGTGAACTTCACAGTAACGGGAGCTAAGAATGTTATCAGACAAAGGGAAGCAACACTTAATTGGGTTGTTTTCCCTACTCATATTATAAATGCGAAAGTAACTCTGTCTGTCAGTCTGTCTGTGTCGCTTTCACGCCTAAACCACTGAGCCGATTTTGATGAGATATAGTTTGAGTCCTGTAGGCCTTTATGATGCGCGCCGTGATAACCGCGACGTCAAAATGTATGGATAAAATCGATAAAATGGCGTGATAACCGATTGTCGCGGCGTTCATCTTAGGCCTACTGGGCTTTTATCCTGGTTTTTGAAACAGGGACGCGCGCGATAAAGGTTTTCTGTGACTAATGAATTTTGTCTAATTTCAGGCGGACGAAGCCGCGGGCGAAAAGCTAGTTTATTCATAAATAGGTGTAAACAATATTAGTGCCAATTGACATTCATATGAAAATGTTTGCGGCAGAAAAGGTGTGTTTGCGGATTAAAAAGATAAGATTGATAAAAATAGCAGGTAGGCAAATGATATAATGACATTATCACTGAGACCGGCTGATAAATAAAATAATAACTTGAAGGACAAATAGTTACGAGATTTTCCTTTAGATGTCAAAGCAACTGTTTAAATATTGGCTTACTTACATATTGACTTAAAGTTGTTGTTAGAGTATGGATAAATATTATTGAATAAGTATATCCATTTAATCTCTTGACTGATCCTAGTTTCTTCTAAAGTTTTATTAAGTAAGGCTGTACAAATGTTCCGATTTTGAGATCTGTTTAAAATCTTTATTGCTATAGGTATTTAGGTATTATGTGTGTGTAAGTGGTGTAAGTATGATGTGGATATTAGATTATCTAAGGTAGGTACAGTCAATATGCTTACAAACGTGTCAATCTGAAGGAAACAATGTGAGTTACTCACCTTCTTTTTTCATGCCAGCCTTAAAGCATTTCCTTAACCTACAGTATCTGCATTGATTTCTTTTGTCTTTGTCCACCACACAATTTCTGCTGAATCTGAAAAAAGAGAAAAATTTATAAAATAAAAATAATAAAATATCCTTGGACATTTCACACTATACTATCTAGTTGCAAGACTAAGCAAAGCTTGTATTATGAATATTNCGAATATTATGATATGGGTAGGTATCAGACAACGAATTAAATTTTTTTTGGAAATCAGCTTTTATTATCATTTAAGGAAAGATATAACAATATGTTATGTCATCTCAATGTGTTATAGTGTTTTATAACACTTGCTAACTCAACGCCAACACACTTTACAATAGATTTGGCAATAGCAGTTTCATCACAAATGGAAATAGAAGTTTCGACTCTAATAATAGGCAAGTTAGCGTGATAACTGCTTGATACTGGTTATTGCTGGTTTTTATGAGTGTGCGCAAAGGCTCCATATTAAGCCTAAGCAGTATTTTTAAAGCTTTTTCTTTATGAGCTGCGGTTCATAGAATTTTAATTAAAGATTTGGCTGGAAGGTTGTTACAACATTAATATTGTCTTATAACCACACTCTACTTTTTTGGCAGCCATTTTGCTATTGAGTACGCGGCGATGGGTTACAATGCTCTCTTTAGGCTACCTATCTTCTCTAATTTACCAAAAGCGATGGAGGATTTGGCTCACCCTATCTGAGCTAGCCAGTCAATATTTGCCGATAACTTGTTGATTTATAGGGTATAAATAACGGCGCGACATGTTGAACACTGGGGCATCTTGTGCGGTTGTAATAGAGGTGGTTATCCACTGTACCTGCAGTCTGCACGTGTATAAGTTGTTCTTTCTGACGCTCCTCCTGAAGTAGCCCTTGCACCCGTCGCACGATGACGCGCCATAGTGCTTGCCCGTCGCTCGATCACCACAGATGGCGCAGTGTTGTAAGAGCGGCGTGGAACTCACTACTGTATCTTATACAGTTGTAATAGAAGCGGTTATCCACTGTACCTGCACGTGTATAGGTGGTTCTTTCTGACGCTCCTCCTGAAGAAGCCCTTGCATCCGTCGCACGATGACGCGCCATAGTGCTTGCCTGTCGCTCGATCACCACAGATGGCGCAGTGTTGTGAGAGCGGGGTAGAACTAGCCGCGCTCGCTTCACTACTACTCGTCTCGAGTTGTATATCACTATCTGTAACAAGAAAATCGTAAATTAGTTTTTATAACACTAGCATTTACTGAAAACGGGCATTAAGAGCGGTTTCGCATTACGTCCGATCCGAATACGCGACAGAGCTTTCCGGAGTATAGTCCTAGTACTACTCGTATTTGTACGGTATTTATCCGAATTACTTGTAGTTTTTAGATCCGTATTTTGACGGATTCGGATTGGATTTAGTGCTCTCTTCCCGTGGATGTTTTATGAGACGAGTAAGGGAGAAATATGCAGAAATTAGGGTCCCAAACCCGTCTGGCCAGCGATGGGAAGTGTGGGTCAAATACTTCATATTTTTACATCATCATCATCATCATTTCAGCCATAGGACGACCACTGCTGAACAAAGGCCTCCCCTCATGCTTTCCACGTTGATCGAACGAACTAAAGTCGCTGACGTAGCCCGACGGATTGGCAAGCTGAAGTAGAAATGGGCAGGGCATATAGTACGTAGAACTGACGGCCAATGGGGCAGCAAGGTTCTGGAATGGAGGCCGCGTACCGGAAAACGCAGCGTGAGACGTCCACCTACAAGGTGGACCGACGACATCGTAAAGGTAGCAGGGAAGCGCTGGATGCAGGCCGCTACCAATCGATCAATATTTTTATAGTGGAGACTAAATAACCTAATGATGATGAGTGCAAGACTAGTAGGTTTAGGGTAGCGACACATCAGCGCTAAGTACGCCAGCGAAAGATCGGACTAGGGCTTGCAATATCGGATAGTTTTCAACTCCGGAACTGATTTCCGATATTGGGCACTCAACTCCGCAATTCCGGTTCTAGTTCCGGAGTTGGTTAAAAAAAGAAAGCGCCTCCCGACAAACGCGTACACGTATGTGGCCTCCACGTTAGAACCTTGCCCCATCAGCCGTCTGTTCTACGTACTATGTGCCCTGCCCATTGCCACTTTAGCTTGGTAATCCGACGATCGCTATATGTCAGGTAACTTTAGTTCGTTTAAGAATCTCCTCATTTCTGGTTCGATCTCGAAAAGAAACACCGAGCATAGCACTCTCCATACCATGGTGTGCAACTTTGAGCTTATTATAAGGCCTTATAGTAAGAGGCCACGTTTCCGAACCGTGTGTCATCACTACTGGTAACACACACTGATTGTAGACTTTCGACTTTAGGCACTGAAGTGTTTTGGTCGAAAAGCTGTTATGTAGTTTCCCGAACGNAGTCGACCGGCAGTACACCAGCCAGGACTGGCAGAGCCTCCGTGCTCACAGTTCTGTAAGCTTTGCAAAGAAAAATCAATGCAAGGCGTTGACTTTGGAGTAGTTTCCGTCGAGCGGCTCCTATAGTAGCTCTGTCAGCCCAAACTGGTGCACCATAGCAAATGGAGCTTAAATAAGTGGCCGAATATATTACTCGGAGGATTTTAAACGTTAGACCCCACGTCGAGGTTGAAATGTGAACTTAAGGCATAAAAGTTCTTTTTAGCTTTTTCACCGATCTGTTTAATGTGCTCGACAAAACTAAAGTTTTTCTCTAAAATTAGTCCGAGATAGCAAACAGATTCCCGTTTTTTAACAGTTATTTCATTGAATTTAATGCGAGGCAAAACTTTAAGATTACCTTTTAATAGAAGCTCTTTGCCAAGTAGTGGCAGAATAGAACAGGAATAGGCCACTCTTTCAGTGGATATCGTGTGAGGCGACCAAAGGAGAAATATGCGAACATCAGGACTTCCTCCAAACCCGCCTGGTGAACTGACCAGGTAGTATAGAAGTATTTGCGTCTGGTAAATTTCTTCAAATTAAAGTAGTCGTCTCTCTGCTGTGGAGGGGCTAAATAACCTGATGATGATGAGTGCAAGACTGATGAAATAATAAATCTTTAGATAGAAATAAACTTAGTTTTATTTTATCAAAGTAATTTAACAAAAGAAACGCGCACACCGTGACCATAGACCGGAGAGAGTAGAGATGTGCATAGACAACACAAAACGAGTTGCGTTCACACTTCATCATGCTCCCCTGGACGCGAACGTTTTGTGTTTAAGCCCATTGATGCAGTAAAGTCTTCATGTTTCGGTCTGTATGTAAGTTTAGTGTAGCGACACATCAGAGCGATAGGTACGTACGCCAGCGAAAGTTCGGCAAATTTTCACATCAACTGAAGCACGTAGCTTCAGTTGATGTGAATTTGCCGTAACGTTGAATCCTTCGTAGCATTTGTATTCAAGAGCGTGGGACGTGCTACGCGGCTGAAAGTTCGATAGGCGCGTCTCTACATTTGGGAAATTGTTTTCTTATTGTTTCGCATTTGTAGTATTTTTTAGAGTCGCTTTTCTAAAGCTGTTTTCTAATGTGATATCAAATAGATGTAGCAACTTAAACGGATTCAATCAAGGATCTTTTATTGTTATAATTCTCAAATAGATAGTTGCCACGCAGATTTTGACTATATACCTACTTACAGTTACGATCGATAGGAACAATACTGTTAGGGTCAACACTTTATATCGCTTCTATTGGCCAAAATGTGTTCTCGCGAACTCTATTGGTCGGCATTTTTGGATCAAACATCAGGTGACTCGAATACAAACTGGCCTTATGGGCGTACCCACCTTCTGGGGGGGCAATCTGGTCTAGGTGGAGGGGAGTTAAGGTTTTGGCAGGGTTATTAAAAACGCTATTAGAAATTTAACGGAACACAAGATAGGTAAGTTAGGAGGGACATACAATTTCCTTTTTGATAGTTTGCCAACCTGAATTTTTGATTCATTGGTGTTAAGTAAAAGTTTATAAACGCTTTCTTGCTTTTCGCGAAGTGTTTATATTTATTGAATTACGAGCTTACAGATTTATTTACAGAGTTTATGATTTTTGCAAAGCATTAGTTTTTTCAATTTTTTCTTTGGCAGTTGACTCAAGGTTTTACATCATTGCAATGTATGTTTTGAAGTCGTATTGTATCGTATTTTGAGTACAACAATATGTTCTTTTTTAAAAATAAAGTTGCTAGTAGGTAAATACAAAATAAAATTCTAAACAAGTTTCAACAGAGACCGGTTGTAAAGATTAATTGGAGGACATAGAATATTGTTTTTAACAAATATTTCTTCTTGCATATTTTTATGACAATAATGATTTAGCAATTTTATAAATTACCTACTGGATAGTGACGATGTGCTTACTAAGACCTAAGTGATATTAATGCAGTTAGTAATGCTGATTATAAACAAAATAGTCGTTGTAAAGAAATACTGATCTTGCTCAATACGTCTTGTAGACGTAAGCAGCTATATTAGGTACCTACTGATACATAATTATGTAGATTCATACTGTTTTATATTACCAGAAAATTGTATGTTATTCGAAACTAGCAATAATGTATGCTAGTTTTAAGACAATACAGGTCGTCTAATTTCAATGTCACGCGAAGAAAAAAAAACTGAAAAAAATATGAGGTCCATTTACTCGTATTAAGATTTTAAAATCACGATTCTTAGAAACAGGAAAATAACAAAATGCTGTTTTTAAGATTCAAATAGATATTATGATATGCAATAGAATTTATACTTTGTTGCGATAAATATTATGCCTAAAATACTATGACTAGAGGTACTTTATCGGTGCCAAAATTATTACAATATCTCGATAAGTCTTTTATCACAAGTATTATGTGTGAGTCAGGGAGACTAAAGGGAATTTACATTTTAGATAAATAGGACCAAAATCAAGAGATAATAAATGATGCAAAGTCCATGTTTTTTGTATTAATTCATATAATCTGATCGTAAGACATAGTCGCATTTTAAAGGATAATGACATTTATCGATTTTGATAACAATAAATCGGAGATAAGATTCAACTTTGCCCAACTTTAAACCCTTTTACCATGTTTATGGTAAATAGTATTATATNAATTGCAGAGGAATCGCCCTCATGTTCAGCCAGGCTCAAAGATCTTCTCATAGTCTAAGAACGACAAGCATATAGGCAAGTTAGACTCTTCGGTCTTCTGTATAACCTGCCGTAGCGTATAGATGCGGTATATGGTAGTGTAAACGTTTCGATAATTGACATAAGTCGCTCGGGCGCGAACCTACGCGCGAGACTACTTGTAGACATGACTTAGAGTCAGAACCCAGATGGGTCTGTAATTCCTTAATTAAGGCTTTTACCCCTTTTTTAAAGAAAAACACCACCAAGCATTTGTTCCGTGCCTCTGGCATTATTCCCTGGAGTAAGACGGAGTTACAGTCTATGAAGGACTTTCAGTATCGGCTTATCACCTGCCGCGTTCAGAAGCTCCGAGGTTATTCCGTCATCACCCGGTGCCTCGTTGTTCTTTAGCTGTTTGAGAGCCATCCTAATCACGTAAGGGCTGATGTCCGGCTAATCTTCGGTATAGTGTCGAGTTAGCTTAGCTGTTGGAACTGTCCTGTGGCTGAGCTATTAACAGGTTTTACTCTATCATCCGCTCTCTTCAGCTGGCTTCGCCCATTAGAGTTGTCTCTTGCGAACATTTTGGAGCTTTGGTTTCGCCCTATTGCCTCTTTAATACTGTACACTAATATTGTAAAGAGGAAAACTTAAACAAAGTTTTCCTCTTTATAATATTAGTTTGTTTGTTTATTTGGTTGTAATGAATAGGCTCAAAAACTACAGGACCGTTTTTAAAAATTCTTTCACCATTCGAAAGCTACATTATCCACGAGTAACAGGCAAAATTTTATTTTGGAAAAAAATAGGGTTCCGTAAAATATGTAGATAATGTAGTCCACACGCGCGAAGCCGCGGGCGGAAAGGTAGTTACTAATAAAGTTGCCAATACATTTATCTCAAGGACTTCCTTATCTAAGAAGCTATTTTGATACTTAAACGTTTTGAACACTTAAAATAATTTATGAAAAATTTCAATATCGGAATACGATATTGGCTTCAGTTCCGGAATTGAAATATCGGAAAAAATGTATCCGAAATTCCGGAGTTACGAAATTCCGGAATTCCGGTATTCAAGCCCTAGATCGGACTCGTTCAACTGAAGTTACGTGGCACTTGCCGTAACGCTTCATCGTTCCTAGCATCTTTATTCAAGACCGTGGGACGTGCTACGCGGCCGAAAGTTTGTAGACGCGTCTCTACATTTGGGAAATTTTCTTATTGTTTCGCATTTGTAGTATTATCGTATTAAGTAGAGACTATAATGTGATATCCAATTGGACCTTTGATTCAATTAAATAGATGTAGCAACTTAAATGGATTCAATGAAGGCTCTCTTATTGTTATAATTCTCATTATATGAGCAGCCACGCAGATTTTGACTATACCTACTTACAGTTGTAAGACACAGGAACAATACTGTTAAATTCAAATTCAATTATTTATTGCATGTCACACGGGTAAGGGTTGATAGAATATAATTTTGTACATGTGACGCCCAGTGAAGGAGATGCAAAAACTTAAAAATAACATTTAGGGTCAACACTTTCTATCGCTTCTATTGGCCAAAATGTGTTCTCGCGAATTCTATTGGTCGGCATTTTTGAATCAAACATCAGGTGACTCGAATACAAACTGGCCTTATGGGCGTACCCACCTTCTGGGGGGGCAATCTGGTCTAGGTGGAGGGGAGTTAAGGTTTTGGAAGGGTTATTAGAAACGCTATTAGAAATTTAACGGAACATAAGATAGGTAAGTAGGAGGGACATATAATTTCCTTTTTGATAGTTTGCTAACCTCCATTTGTGATTCATTGGTGTTTAATAAAAGTTTATAAACGCTTTCTTGCTTTTCGCGAAGTGTTTATATTTATTGAATCACGAGCTTACAGATTATTTACAGAGTTTATGATTTTTGCAAAGCATTAGTTTTTTCTTTGGCAGTTGACTCAAGGTTTTACATCATTGCAATGTATGTTCGAAGTCGTATTGTATCGTATTTTGAGCATAACAATATGTTCTTTTAAAAATAAAGTTGCTAATAGGTAAATACAAAATTCTAAACAAGTTTTAACAGAGACCGGTTGTAAAGATTAATTGGAGGACATAGAATATTGTTTTTAACAAATATTTCTTCTTGCATATTTTTATGACAGTTTAGCAATTTTATAAATTACTGGATGGTGACGATGGTGCTAAGTGATATTAATAATGCTGATTATAAGAAAAATAGCCGTTGTAAAGAAATACTGATCTTGCTCAATACGTCTTGTAAACGTAAGCAGCTATTTAGGTACTGATACATAATTAGATTCGTACTGTTTTATATTACCAGAAAATTGTATGTTATTTGAAAGTAGCAATAATGTATGCTAGTTTTAAGACAATACAGGTCGTCTCATTTCAATGTCACAATATGAGGTAAGTATTAAGATTTTAAAATCACGATTCTTAGAAACAGGAAAATTTTAAATTGCTGTTTGTTAAGATTCAAATAGATATTAAGATTTGCAAAAGAATTTATACTTTGTTACGATAAATATTATGCCTAAAATACTATGACTAGAGGTACATACTTTATCGGTGCCAAAATTAGTACAATATCTCGATAAGTCTTTTATCACAAGTATTATGTGTGAGTCAGGGAGACTAAAGGGAATTTACATTTTAGATAAATAGGACCAAAATCAAGAGATAATAAATGATGCAAAGTTCATGTTTTTTGTATTAATTCATATAATCTGATCGTAAGACATAGTCGCATTTTAAAGGATAATGACATTTATCGATTTTGATAACAATAAATCGGAGATAGGATTCAACTTTGCCCAACTTTAAACCCTTTTACCATGTTTATGGTAAATAATATTATATCATATTTCTGTTTCTGTATTATTACATAAATAAATTGCATAATAATCGATGCTCTTAGTTAGATAAGACGAGATAAGCAAAAAAATTAAACTACAACAGATTTATTCAGCTTTAAATATTTTAAGTTTCAATGAATTTTTACATAAGGACGACGGTAAGCTAAATATTATGGTTAAATAGCTAATTATAAACATTATCTATAACTTATACAAAATTTCTATGATCTAATGCCCCTTAACGCACCCGGATGACTTTTATTATTGTCAATAAGAATCAAGCAGATAACACAACTGTTCCAATAACACAGTTATCTTACATAATCATCAACATAACATTACTGTATGAGGGTCGCATTAAGTATCCGATGGGAACCAACCTTCACTGTATTTCATGTTGAAATTCGGAGGGGTTTCCATGTTGTTTCTGCAGGCGTATCCGGAGTATGCGTTTTCTGGTGCTTTGTCCCACGAGGCCGGCGCGGGCGCCGTCGGCATCATGTACTCGGCGCCGTAGCCCAGCAGGCAGAGGTCCTGGCTCGCCATGCTCTCGTAGCCAAGCACTGGCATCTTCCAACACGCGCACACGATTTCGAACGTTATCGACTACTGACTAAACAGCTCAGCGAGGTTCAACCGATAATACACGATAAAGCCTATTATTTACCAGCAGGTGACACAACATACACCAATTAAATCGACTCTCCTCCAATTGTTATCACTACCACTGCTCGCTTGAGATGCTCCAGAATATTTGGTTCAATTCGATAATCACAGCAAACATTCAGCCGGCGACGAGTCGCATCGTTTCCGGGTGGTGTTTAGGTTTTTATCACTAATTGTGTACGGGTGAGCCGGCGTTGTTTACAGAACTGGCGTCGAGTGTCGAGGTGCGAGTTCGGCGCGACCTTCCTTGAGCGCGACCTGGTAGCGACTGACAGCGAATGTTGACCACACATCTAATAACATCCGCTTCAATGAAAATCCGCTGAGCATGCGATTAGAATCCGCTGTATGAATGACCCGACCAATAATAAGCCAGATCAGCGCTTCGGAGACCCCACCGCCGTGGTCGCGTGCTGAGTCACGCGTTATCAGAACGCAGCGGATGCGCATTCGATGCTGCGTACGACTCATTTGGCAGCAGCTGACCGACTCCAAGCTTTTACCGTATATAGAATAATATAAAATACATAAACAATATTCAGTGACTAATTAGCTGTCGGTATTAACAAATGCACTCTCTCTTTGTCCCTTTGTTGCCATCGTCTATTGTGAGACACGTAATTGCATATCCTTTTGCGGTAGGTTATTACAGCAAAGATAATTACGAATGAAAACATTGTCTCAATTGGAACAGAATAGCAGATAAAGTAATAAATTACCAGTGTTTGTAAGTAATTAACCTAAATATCCTAAACCAACTTATACACATGTGATGTGTCTGCCTCTATACTCCATCTCATCTACAGCTTAAAAGCAGACAGTTCTCTTATTGTCTTTTTATTTCAGTATCTCATAATTGTCAGCTAAATCCGTATCAAAACTTCAACATGCTGTGATAATCTTCATTCTCTCAATATTATTGTGTACATTCCACATATCTACAGCTATTGGAAGATGTAAACATCTTTGGGGACAGACCGCTATCAGCAGACGGGGCGGGTCGGGGTCGCGATATCTGGCCGATACGAAGATGGGACGCGCTGGCGGCGAACTACCCTCAATTCTATACTGTCTACTGCGACATATCTGCGGTCAGGTCAAGCATGACAGCATAAAACATTTGTATAAGGATTTTGCATCATACAAGAGACTGTAGTCCTAACTGAACTTACATATTTCCATTGAAAAGTCGTGAAAACTTAGCATTTTCCTATATTATTGGACCACTTTACTGACTCTATTCGCATGGTGATCGGCTGACCTTTTTCAAGGAAAGACGAAAAGCTAATAAAATGTGTGATTACTAAATAAATTATCATCTCTAAAATAATATTTGCAACACACACAATCCTATCATTAACAGCTCAAGGTTTTAAGAGTAAAAAACTCGCATAAAAATCTTACAAACCGTCGTCTGTTGAATGTTAAATTAACGAGCATTATAATTTTGTGAGTTTTATCTTATGTTACATTAGAATTGTTTCTAGGTTTAAAAAAATATTTGCTGTTAAGCAAGGCAATTCAATCAAGTATGTATAATTCACACATAACAAGTAAATCTATTTATGTCTAACTTTGATCAATTACGATAGATTGGTCAAGTAAACAGGTAGGATAGTTTCTCACATTGAGGTGTTAACATTTTGTTTTTAATTTAAGCACATGGTAAAAAAAGTGTAACTACGTAGAAATTCTGTAGCAAACCAAAATTCGCGTAGCCAAAGCAGCGGACAAAAAATTGAAATAAAATGAAGACATTACAAAACCTTAAAATTAATGAGAAGCAAATGAGTATGAAACTGGGAGGAAAACGTCCAGAAGAAGTCGTATGTCCTCCGAAGGCTGACATAACTGAAAGGTTTCTTGAGATCATTCTTGAAACAAACGCTTTTTTGCAGCAAGTTTCGGGTTGACAACTGGGCAAAATGCACAGGTGCGTGTGAGTAACAAATTTTAATAATGAGTGGCATATGACAAAATGTCAGCAATGACAGTATCCTTTGTTCACTAACCTCAAAAGGGTTTACTTTTGTCCTTTTTAAAATTATTCATTTTTATTAAAAAAAATATACCTACGAACCTTTGAATATTTTCTTCGTACCTACGTATAACATTTTTTTACAATTTTAATCTTAACAAAATAATACGAAATGTATTTTTACTTTACATTAAAAATACTTAGTAAGTAGTATTTTTTTTTGCTAATTTGAAATACCTAAATGATGTTTTAAAGCCTAACTTTTCCCAATGACTCGGTAATTCCAACGCAGCATTATGGAAGCCTGCCTGCATCACACCTGCACACTGAAAGAACCTTATTAACAAACAGTCTTATCATCATACCCAATATGCCTATCTTAAAACTAAATGCAGAGAAAAAAATAAAAGGAAAGTTTCAAAGTTAAATCTAACTTTTATCTAACTGACTTTTTACATGAAGTCCAAATGTGCCCATAATTTATTAAAATGTATTATTGTAATGATGTGGCTGTGGGTCTTGTGCCATATAATTTGTTTTTTTCTTTTTTTTCTTTCTAATTTTCCTACAATGTGGAAAATGTGGCTTGGATCATGGATCTACGTTTGCTAAATAGTAGTGTCATTTTAATTTGATTTATCTTCCTACAATTTTTTTATGGTCATACCAATGGTTAAAAATAAATATGAGTTCTATTTATGGCATTTTATTACGAATAAGAAAAATGTACCGATTTAACTACGCAAAACAACGAATGTGTTATTTTAATTTGATTTATCTTCCTAGAGTTTTTTTATGGTCATCTAATGGGTTAAAAATAAATGAGTTCTATTTATGGCATTTTATTACCGAGGCACGAAAATAACAATATAATCTACGCAAAGAACAAATGTATGTAGGTATATCTCAAACGTCAAAATTAAATGTCAGACGCAAACGGTGCGTTGACGTAGGTTAACTTAATTAAAAAAGTTATAGTGGCTAGTTTACAAGGCTGGTATTATTACACGGTGGAAGGCTGCTGAGGAAATTCCCCCCGTCAAACCAGTTCGGGCGGACACGTACTTACGTATGACATGCGCTTTTGCTTCTACATAATGTGTAACGTGCTTAGATATTTTTATTTTTAGTCCTTTTTAATTAAATAAAGTTTCTATGGGGCAGTTTAGCAATACGATATAGTTAAATCAGGCTCGTATGAAACGATGTTGAAAACTAGATTCCAACTTCATAGATTTAACTTTGCGAATGGTTGAAGACTACAGATTTATATTCGAGTATCATTTTGTACAAGTAATATGAGCGTCAGTCTAGCTAGATCTATTGATTTGGTCTATATTTTTTCAAGCTTCTAAATTTTAATGACTACCTCAGCAACAACATGGCAATTAACAGTTTTAGCTAAATTGAAGCAGGTCGATCCCCTAAAAAAGTTGTTAAGATCTTGCGAATTACTTATTTTTTATTATTTAAAACATTTTAATAACTTTTGAATAATTTTGGGTTCAAATCATTATTTTTTGATTTTATCCCAGATTTTTTTTTTGCTTTTACAGCAGAAAACAATTATTTAAAGAGTAATTACCGACCGGTTTTTTGTTTGATAAATGGGTGTGAAAACGACATCTTTTTATGTTTAGGTCAAACAAAAAGAAAAGGAATAAATAATATTTATTAAAATGTAAATTTAATTTTGTTTAAAAACCGTAAAAACAATGCTTAAGAAATTTTAACATGTTGTACGTCGGCATGTCACGACCTTCAGTGAAGCTATTACAAATTTTCAAAATATTTTAAGTTTCTTATAGAATAATATTCATTGGTTCACAATAACATTTTAAAAGAAGCATAAGTTTGAATATGTCAACGCAAATCTACACTCGCGAGCAAAACTATGGAATAACTTACATGAAGTTGTTTCCACGCGATCTTGTGTAGGTACTAACGAATTTGTTAGTAACAAAAAAAGTGGCACCATTTTAAAGATTAAACTTTTACCTTTTAATTGATATCAAATTCATTTAAATCACACCAGTATTTAAAAAGATATCGCGGCTGATGTGAAGAAGTAAGGAAAAAGACATGTATTAACTGTTTGATACGTCGCGAGTTTCGGCCCATTTACCCCCTATAAAAGCACGTGTTTTCGGATTTTTGCTTTCACACGTTGATCCATACACATCTCAGCTTCTTTTGACACTTTACCTGGGATTCTACACCTTCAGAAGCAGCACAAATCCTTGCACTATTGCAAGCAGGGCTCAGCCAGCGGGCTGTAGCATGTCAGCTCCACATAAGCCAGTCCTGGGTTTCGAAAGTTTTAAGACGCTTTCGGGAGACTAGTGGCTTTATCCCGAGACCAAGTTCTGAACAGCGCCAGTGCACATCGCAGAAGGATGACCGTTTTTACATGTCAACCTCTCTATGAAATCGTCATTTGACTGGTATCGACGTCCAGCAAGAGCTCAGAAATGTTCGTAGGATAGCTGTTAGCGTGTGGACAGTTCGTCTAAGATATAAGCGATAGAATTTGATTCCAAAAAGGCCTGCCACAGGCTCGAAACTGACGGCAGGTCACCGATAAGCACGCTTTCAATTTGTTCGTACACATCTCGATGGGAAGTCGAGCAAGCCACCCCCATAAGCCACTGTTTCAGCGAACCAGCACTGCACAAATCGCTCCCCAGGCTGCCTATAGACCCGACCTCTTCAACTGCTGCACTGCAAACACAGTCTGCATTCATCGGAGGACAAAACTCGCCTCCATTACTCGCCCACCCATCAAAATAAGTGCGAGTTAATTGAAAGCGTGCTTGTCGGTGACCTGCCGTCAGTTTCGAGCCTGTGGTAGGCCTTTTTGGAGTCAAATTCTATTGCTTATATCTTAGACGATCTGTCCACACGCTAACAGCTATCCTACGAACATTTCTGAGCTCTTGCTGGACGTCGATACCACTCAAATAATGATTTCATAGAGAGGTTGACATGAAAAAACGGTCATCCCTCTGCGATATGCACCGGCGCTGTTCAGAACTTGGTCTCGGGATAAAGCCACCAGTCTCCCGAAAGCGTCTTAAAACTTTCGAAATCCAGGACTGGCTTATGTGGAGCTGACGTGCGACAGCCCGCTGGCTGAGCCCTTCTTGCAATAGTGCAACGATTTGTGCTGCTTCTGTAGGTGTAGAATCCCAGGTAAAGTGTCAAAAAAAAGCGGAGATGTGTATGGATCAACGTGTGAAAGCAAAAATCCGAAAACACGTGCTTTTATAAGGGGTAAATAGGCCGCAACTCGCGACGTATCAAACAGTTGATACATGTCTTTTTCCTTACTTCTTCACATCAACCGCGATATCTTTTTAAATACTGGTGTGATTTAAATGAATTTGGTATCAATTTAAAGTTAAAAGTTTGATCTTAAAAATGGTGCCACTTTTTTTGTTACTAACAAATTAGTTAGTACACAAGATCGCGTGGAAACAACTTCATGTAAGTGATTCCATACTTTTGCTCGCGAGTGTAGTTTACTGAATATTTTGTAGAGCCTTGAGTATAAAAAAAACCGGCCAAGTGCGAGTCGGACTCGCGCACCGAGGGTTCCGTACAAACCTGCAAGGTTTACAAA